GGTATTCTGTGAATATACCTTCCCAGAATCACATATACTGGTGTGATACTAATTCAGCCTGGAGCTTTTGGCCATTATTCTCAGAATGGACAAAAATAAGAGATTCTCTAGTACTGTAAGACAAAAGGAGAAATTCGAGCATCTATATTGATGTCAAGAATCATCATTCAACATGCTCATATCATGAAGCAGTTTTTCTTTTGGTGCCTTTAGAGGGAATTTTTGTCACATACTTCTCTCCATCCTCAGTGGGAGAGACACAGTGTGAAGCAGAGAAGAACTTGAAGATTACAGTTTCAGAAACTGTCAAGAAAAATCAGGTAAGGACTAGAAGAGGAAGACACATAGCTCCATTTTGCGTTTTTTCCTCTCCCTTTCTCCTCTGCCCACTCCAGCCTTTGGTGAGTGAGGAACCCATCTCTCAAAAACAGCACTGCAACCACAAAGATGATATCATGTAGCTTTAGTAGCCAAAAGGGGCAAAGACCCAGGGCCTTGGGATCTTACAGACAATGAGAGTTATTGTGATATAAAGATAACAGAGCACGGGAACCAACAGTGACTTCTCTCCAGATCATCCCATGATGAGGCCTTTCACCCAACCTCCAGCCTCTGCAGGACGTACACACACACTCACACACGCACACGCACAAACACAGGAGCATACACTCATACCCACACACGGCATTAAGGTATTAAAAGAAGTTGGTTTCATCCAATGTAATACTATAAGATAATGACTGACGGTACTGGGAAACTATGGGGGGGAAGGGGATGGGATTAACAGTAGCAAATATCTGTCGGGGGATGGGAAAACACCTCTTATCAACAGGGTGCCTGAATGAAACGTAATTGTACACCTAACCCTTAACTGTACCCCACAAAACCATAATAAAAAATACTGATTGATAAAAAAAAAAAAGCTGGTTCCAACCATACAGGTTTCTCTACTATGTACAGAATATTCATCAAAAAGAAGCTGCATTTTCTTCCATTTTATACATTTTTTGAGCTTATAGTTTGGTTTGGGGGTAAGCTTTCCTTAATTTATTTTTCAATAGTAGTGCACTCATGTCATTCAAATGTGCTAAAAGGTCCACGTGAAAATCTTTCTTTCTCTCCTATCTCATCCACCCAGTCCACACTTCTAAAAATAATCACTATTTCCTGTTTATTCTTTCAGAAATTTTTAAGGAACATAATAGCCAATATAATACATATTATTTTGGAGAATGGGATTAAAATGTTTATATGTGAAACCAATATGGCAATAAGGACTTGAGTTATGTCCTGATCACTTCAGTCCCCCACCATATCCTTATTCCCTTTGGGATTTTTTTTTAAGATATGGGGTACAATTCAGGATTAGGTATACAAGTGGTCATTGTACAGTAAAGTTTGGGCCTCCCTTTGATCTCCACTTCATCTGGTTTGAGATCAGGTATCCTTATTAATGTGTGCACTGCCCCCTCCCCCAACAGTTTCCCACTACTGCCAATCTCTTTCTTATAGTATTATGATAAATGTTCAGGGTTTGCTTATGAGTGAGAACATAGCCTTATAACTTTTACTTCTTTCCTCCTCATATGTTTCTTTCCCCATTAGCGAAGAACGTGAGTTCTCTAAATTTTATTTCCATTTTCAGACTTGAACCTGGGTCCATTACAAGTTCACACAAACTAATCAATCAACCACAGAGGAAAAAATATCTTCTAAAACAATACATGGTTCACATAAAATATAAGAATGACTTTGTTTGAATTGTAAAAATTATAATTCATAACAAGCCTGGAAAAATGCCTACTGACTCCATGTACAAGAGAAGAACGTTGATACATGAATGAATTTTATATTTGGGTAAAGTGCTGCATATTCATTAGGCAAGAGGTGACCTAAAAGTTGAGACTATTCTGTGGCAAAAGGAGAAAGAAAGGTGGGAATAAGGTCGCTGGTCAGTGTCTTGGGAACTAAAATAAAAGAGAAATTGGAGTTGAAATTCCTGTATCTACTAAACCAGAAATGGTCAGGAAGCGAGATCAAGGAGGGTGATGATTCTGAGGGTCAATAAGAGGCCTGTCCGGAGCGCGAGAGAGGTTAGGGTCAGCTTTGGACACTAAAAAAATCAACAACTATTAAAGCCAGGGAGCTGCAGGAGTGATTGTACTCAACAGATGCATCAGGAGGGCCCAGTGTATGCAGCCACAAATAAGCACTGAACTCCACTAATCCACCCACTTCACCTAGAGTTCTGTCTAGGGAGTATGAGGAATGCAGAGGCTAGCCAACACAGGCCCTGAGTAGTGTGGGTACTCTTAGTAGGGAGTAGGGAAAATACCATCTACTATGACCACATTTTGCCAGCAGACAAAATGTGTGATTAAAGGAGACCACATGGGCAGGAGAAAGAGCAGGGACCATGGAATTAAACAACTGAGGCTGGAACCAGGCTCTGCTGCTTACTGGATGTGACTTAAGGGTCAGGGATTAGCTATTCATATTTCTATTTTCTCATTAATTAAAAATAACTCTTTTTTGACTGGGTGCAGTGACTCAAGCCTGTAATCCCAGCACTTTGGGAAGCCAAGGTGAGAGGATTGCTTTAGCTCAGGGGTTCAAGTCCAGCCTGGGCAACTTGGTGAGACCTCGTCTCTACAATAAATAAATTTTAAAAAAAATAAACCAGGCATGGTAGTGCACAACTGTAGTTCCAGCTACTTGGAAAGCTGAGGTGAATGGATCGCTTAAGCCCAGCAGCTCAAGGCTGGGGTGGCCATGAGCACTCCAGCCTGGGCGACAGAGTGAGACTCCAACTTAAAAAAAAAAATAACTCTTTTAATAATATTAATTTTTCCTTAATAAATGCTGAAAGTAGTTTCCGACTTTTTGCTTATATTTTTACTTTATATGTGATTTTTTTTCTTTAAAAGAAATTTTTTATTTAATTTAATCTAATCAATTATTTTTCTTTATTGTTTCTTCCATTTTTTTTGTACTTAGAAAGGCCACCTTTGTCTTGAGATTAAATAACTACTTTGCAGTATTTTTTCTGACTTCTTTATAGTTATATCTGTAGATATATACCTGAAATTTTTTCACATAAACACTGTGAGGTGTGAATTTTAATTAATTTTTCAAAGACTTAGCCAGCTTGTTCCAGCATTGTATGTTCAATCTCTCTTTTCTTTCTTTTCAATGGGCAATACCACATTTAGCAAACCAAAGTCTGATAAACACTGTGCTCTGTTTCTGGGTTTTCTATCTTTTCCTTTGATGAACTTTTTTTAATGAGGTGAGGAGCAGCATACAACAGCCCCTGAAGTATTCACACACAAGAGGTAACAAAAGTCAGTGAGAGAGTAAAACATAAGATTCCACTTTAAAAAATTACTTAGTAATTTTCATGGCAGTAACTAAGGCTGACAAATTAATAAGCTAGGCTGGCTGGGCTCGGTGGTTCAGCCTGTAATCCCAGTACTTTGGGAGCTGAGGCAAGTGGATTGCCTAAGCCTGTGGGTTCAAGACCAGCCCAGGCAAGATGGCAAGATCTCGTCTCTACAATAAAAAAAATAAAAAATTAATCAAGCGCGGTAGTACGTGCCTGTAGTTCCAGCTACTTGGAAGGTGGAGGCAGAAGGATCGCCATAATCCAGCAGGTCAATGCTGGGATGGCCGTGAGTGTGCCACTGCACTCAGCCTGGGTAACAGAGTACAACTCCAACTCAAAACAATAAACAAATAAATAAACTAACCTTAACTTTTGAAGGAAAGAGGTAGCACAGGGGAAAAAAGCTGGTTCCATGGGTTAATTATTTAGCTGAAACACAGTTCCGTTCCAAGAACTTTTCCTAGAATGAGTATATTTGTTTTGTTTGAAATCTTTGTGTTTCTGTAACCCTAATGCTTCCTATATACTCCTATGGTCATTAGTTTTTGGATTTATTTATTCGTATGATGGATACTTACTGAACGCCTATGTTGAGCCCAGGCTCAGGGCTAATGCTAGATTTCAAAGCTGAATCAACTAGGCACTTTCTCTGCCTACTCCCAACGTTGCTCCCAGCATAATGGAAGGCACAGTAAATAGACACAATCCAAGGTGACATGTGCTGTGACAGGAAAGGCACAACCTCAGGAAGGTCATGAACCTGAGTTTCTGATGAGAGGATAAGTTGGGAAAGTCTTCCTAGAAGTAGTGAAATCTAAGTAATTGGTACATAGCATGTGGAGGGTGAAAGAGAGTTCCGTGAGGAATTTGGGATGTCTGTAAAATCAAGGGCCTTCTGGCCATGCTAAGAAGTTTAGAGTTTATCCTGAGAGTAATGAGGAGTCCCTGAAGAATTTTTTGGGTGGAACAACAAAATCATTAATTTTTAGAAATCCATTTATCTTTGTAGTGAGGATACCAGGTAGGCATGCCTCAGTGCAAGGAGACAATTGCCCTAATCTAAGTGAGAAATCATAGTGCTCTGACTGACATAGTGGCCTCTGGGACTGAAGGTAACAGGTAAACAGAAAGAAGTGAGTAAATGTTAGCTATATAGAGAAAGTAAAATTGCCAGGATTTGGTGATATTTGGATGTAGGTGGGAAGAAAGAAAAATGGGTCAATACTGATGCCCAGATTTCTGGCCAGACTAGCTATATAGATAGTAGTGAAAATGTTTTTCACAATAGACATGATTTACCAATTCCAAAATCCCTTTCCAGGAGCCATATCTTCTGAAGTTTTGGCAACATGGGCTTATTTGACCAGTAAAATCTTGGGCTGTATGAATGTCATAGTTTCTACATGAACATCATAAATACCTCCAGCCTAGCTCCAGAAGATATGTACTAAATTAATGCTTATATAGCAAAATAAATAAGGAAAAAACTTTTCCCATTGCAAACAAATCTTTGATTTTCTGTAACACCAAGCATGGACACTTGCAAATATTTAATTGGATCATATGAAATTGCCATTTTTGTAGGTCTCAAATAGCCAAATATTGATGATTTCATATGATTCAACCTCACACTAGAAGATCAATACTGGAATTTCACATGATTTTCAGAGTCCACAATCCAGGATTTACCAACTTCACTCAACTAATCCAACTTTCTTCCTACAGACAAATGGAGTGGAAAAATATGACCAGCATCTCAGAGTTTTTCCTCCTGGGGTTCTCTGAACAGCTGGAGCAGCAGAAGGTCCTCTTTGGGCTCTTCCTGTTTATGTACTTAATCACTGTGATGGGCAACCTCCTCATCATTCTTGCCATCATCACTGATGCTCAACTCCATACTCCCATGTACTTTTTCCTGGCCAACCTCTCTCTTGCTGATGCCTGCTTTGTGTCTACCACAGTCCCTAAGATGCTGGCAAACATATGGATCCAGAGTTCGGCCATCTCTTACTCAGGGTGTCTATTACAGCTGTTTTTTTTCATGTTGTTTGTGATGCTGGAGGCATTCCTCTTGGCTGTCATGGCCTATGATCGCTATATGGCCATATGCCACCCACTCCATTACATCATGATTATGAGCCCTGGGCTCTGTGTCTTCCTAGTGTCTGCATCCTGGATCATGAATGCCCTCCACTCCCTTCTACACACTCTCCTGATGAACAGCCTGTCCTTCTGTGCAAACCATGAGATCCCACACTTCTTCTGTGACATCAATCCCCTCTTGAGTCTTTCCTGTACAGATCCCTTCCTCAATGAGCTAGTGATCTTCATCATTGGAGGTCTTGCAGGCCTGGTTTGTGTCCTCTGCCTGATTATCTCTTACGCGTACATATTCTCAACCGTTCTAAAGATCCCCTCAGCTCAAGGAAAGCGAAAAGCCTTTTCCACCTGCAGCTCTCATCTCTCTGTGGTCTCTCTCTTCTTTGGGACTTCCTTCTGTGTTTATTTTAGTCCCCCCTCAACCCGCTCAGCACAGAAGGGCACAGTTGCATCAGTGATGTACACAGTGGTAACACCAATGTTGAATCCCTTTATCTACAGTTTGAGAAACCGAGATATCAAGTATTCTCTGAAAAAGTTAATTTTAGTTAGAAAAAGTCATTCCCCTTAGTGGTAACAACTTGGCATCCAAAACGGGGGTCTCATCTGGTTATGCATCTGCATTCACCACACTAAGCAGTGAAAAATTGAAGAGGAAGAGAAAGTAGAGGTTTCACTTCCAGTGCCTATGATCTGAACCTGAAATATTCATGCCTGAGCTATGGGAGTGCATCAGAACAAACCCATAATCAGGTCAGTGTCATTGGGTTAAGTTCTTATAATTAGTATAATATAAAAATATCGCCATCCAAATTTATAATATAATAAAGAATATGCTTCATCTTTTATTATATTAATAATAATATTAGATAATACTTTTTAAACAATATGAGACAGCTTATGACCAAAATAAGGGACTATCTGGTTGGGTTGTTATATGTGGCCAAGAATAAAATTAGGAAAAGACAATCTTCCCTCCAACATCATTATGATCTTGATGACTTGGATTTCTACCAATGTTTCTGCTACTGGGACTGCCCACATCTGTGAAGCTCCCATGACTAAAAACTGGGTCTAAGAAGACTCAATGGATATGGCATCTTTAAATAAACTCACTACAATGTTTTCCAGACAGCTAAGATTCACAGTCCTCCCAACATCTTAAATGTCCTGTAAAAATTTCATTTTTTATCTTTGAGGCAACTTTTTCCATGCCCATTTCATCTCTGCAGCCCCAACACTTATCACTTGGCATAACACCTGGCACCATTAATATGTGGGGAACCCCAGTGGAACGGTTATAGTCATAAGTTAGGAGCCAGGAAAGAATTATTTTTAAGGAAAGAATTATTTTTATTTTCATAATCTCCTATCCAAATAATTAGAACCCCTTCCCAGTTGGTCTTCAGTCCCCAATGTATTCACATTCCACCCACTCTGTACAACACAATCAGATTGATCTTCATAGGATATTGTTATATCACCATTAAAAATGTCCAGCAGCTTTATCTGCCTGCAGAATGAAGTTCAAGCTATTTATCCTCACACGCAGGCCCACTATCACCAGTTAATAACTTGCATGATTCACAGTTAGCCTACATCATTCTGCATTTCTCTCAAGATCAACTGAGGCCACTGTTTTCAGAATACACTGATCATTGTGGGTAGTTACCAAAAAAATGACTTGGAAAGCTCTGTCAGTAAAATTTGTGGCAAAAATCTGTACAATAAGTTACAAACACAGCCAATACTTTTCTATAGGAAAATAAAATGTTACCACGGGTTGCTATTTTTCATTATTGTTGTCTGTTTACCTTCAGGTATCCAGCTGCATGCTGCCATGCCACTGGTTGCAATTGCTGTAGATAGTATCTTCCTGAGTAGTGGTCAGTTGTCAACAGTTAACTTACCTACTCCCTATTTACCTTATAGGAAACCCACACACTATCATCTGACAATAAAAGGTAGCATAGCAAAGTGGTAGGCAACATGAACTCTAGAGTTAGGATGTGGCAAGTTTAAATCTTGGCTTTGCCACTTCTAAGCTGTGTGACCTCAGAAAATTATTTAACCTTTGAAAGCTGTGTGACCTCAGAAAATTATTTAACCTTTGAAAGCTAGTAAAGCCTACCTCATTGTGTTGTCAGTAAGTGTAAATATGATAATATATCTAAAGCATTATCTGTGATAATTAAATGAGATGCATGAAACATATAAAGGGTTAATTCCAAATACATGCTAGCCATTGAGGTGATAGTTGTGAAATTGGTTCATTGTGTCTGGTTACCAACTTGTCTAAGTCCAGTAAAACAGAATACCCACACAGTCAACAAATTACATGGAGTGAGTTTATTATTTATAGATAGGCAGCAAGGAACAACAGAAGCATAGGATTCATTTTGTGTCAGTCCCTAAAGGTTCAAAAAAGTTGCCCACGGGGGCTAGAGTCTCATCTCCACTTGCACCACAGCTGAGGTCCCCTGGAAAGCCGTGGGAGTCACATGAAACACTGGGCTAAAGCATTGAAGGACATCCAGTTTCCAGGGGACATGGGAACAGATCCTGGGTTTTACCAACCAGCTCTTTCTTACCTCAGGATGTTGCAATCCCAGAATATTCTACAGTTATTTTAGAAAGCTACAAGCAAGAAAAGGGGGGAGGGAACTGGTTGGTCCAAGGCCACCCAGAGAACTGTCCTGTAGTTGTCCTTAAAATGAAAGCCAAGCAGCAGCAAATAATGTGAATTCACTCTCAGAAACTGCAGATAAGAATCAGCTCTTGCTAGTACTGTGAACCTAGAAGGGACACTGCTTAAATTGCTCTTTTAGAGAGCATGTGGAGTTTAATGTGGGATTATCTACTTACTGGGATTCATCCACAAGGACAATTTCAATCTACCTTTTCAATAATGCTTCCTAGGTATTTAACAGCAAAAATTTATCTACTTTATTTACAATACAAAGGCTTACATCATGCCATATTCTCTCCTAATCCATTGACAGACATGCATCTTTCACTGTTTAAATTAATATGCACCAATACTTTTAGTTCTACCTTTTTACCTTATTTGTTATTTTTTCATATGTACATTTTGTACAGGATTGTCCATGGAGCAATACAGTTTACAAGATTGTCATAATTATAGAATTTGAGGTATGCCAATATACCCTTACACTATAGTTTAGTCAAAGATTATTGAAAGCCCAGACCAAAACTATTTGTACCCCCAAAGCTATTGAAATAATAAATAAATAAATATTACTATCCTGTTCTGTTTATGGATAAATTCTGTTTATGGATTTAATATGAAAAATATCATTTCCATAAGTATTATTTTTTCATGTGACTTATTCTCCCAGTCTATATTCTTACAAGTAACATATCCATGGGTAATTATGAGTAACTTTATAGCTCATGTTTTAGAGTGTCAAATTGCTATCAAAATGTAATTGTTTTCTGATAGATTCATCAATACTTAGTTTCACTATTTTTTTTCTTTTCAAATCTTAATAAATACATAATAATATAATTTAATTATTGATAAGGATGATAGTTATTTGATAAATTCTGAAAACTGAAAATTATTCCCATCATAAAAAGTTTAAGTAGATTTCCAATATCATTACTACTCCCCACCTGCACATTTAAAAATAGAGAAACTTCTCAAGCCTGTAATCCCAGCACTTTGGGAGGCCGAGGCGAGAAGATTGCCTGACCCCAGGGGTTCAAGACCAGGCTGGGCAACTTGGTGAGACCTTGTCTCTACAGTAAATCAAAAAATTAGCCAGGCGTGCACCTGTAGTTCTGGCTACTTGGAAGGCTAAGTTGGAAGAATCACCTGAGCCCAGCAGGTCAATGCTGGGTGGCCGTGAATGTACCACTGCACTCCAGCCTGGGTGACAGAGTTAGACTTCAACTCAAAAAAAAACCCCAAAACATAGAGAAACTTGAAAATGGTGCTCTAATCAAGTTTGAAGAAGCATTCTTGAGCAATAAAATTAATTGAAATATTTTTCCCTCTTTTTTTATTTTAAAATTGTGGGGTACAATTCAGGGTTAGGTATACAAATATTCTTTGTGCACGTACCCTTGTTGATGAGGTGTGCCTCCCCTTCCCCAGACATATATCGACTACTGTCAATCCCACCTCTCCCTCCGCCTCCCCCCCCCCGCAGTTTTCCGCTACTGTCAATCCTTTTCTTATAATATTACGGTAGTTGTTCAAGGTCCACTGTGCTGCCCATCAAAAGAGGACTGGATAAAAAAAATTGAAATATTTTTACACTTAGGCTATTTCTTGCAAGATGAAGATACCCACTACAACCAATATTATTTAACATTGTACAGGAGATATTAAACCAGACAATTTGATGAAAAGAATTAATTAAATGTATAAAAAATTCCATTTATGATGAATTAGCAGGGTTTGAACTTACCCTGTCAATGTAAACAACTAGAAAACTAGACACAATATAAAACATTACTACATTCAAGTATTAGACAAGAGGCAGCCAGAATTGCAGTATCTGGAAGAAGAGACACAAATAAGGTGAACCCTTCCATTGCATATGTTTCCTACTTAGGAGAAATTTCAAGACTGTGTCACAAGGAGGGGAATCCCAAACAGAGCCCCACAATCTTGTTAAAAGATTGAGACTGAAGTTAAAAAGACAGAGACTGAAGTTCAGGGTGGTTAGGATAGATATAATTTGCAGGGCAGAGTTACAGAGAGGAGATAGCTACACAGAAGAATTACATTTATAAGTACAGAGATTTCCTTGAGGCTTTGGTTGAATAATGATCTGTTCATTCAAGTGATAGAAAGCTAATGAGGAAAGAACAACTTCTGGGGGGCAGGGGAATCCTAGAGACCTGTATGACAAATAATCCTCTGTACTAACACTGAATCACATTGTTTGAGTTCCTCTAACTAAAATGAAGGAACATTTTCATACACAGAACATTCAGTAGAGACCTCAAAAGGGCAAGGTTTTATAGGTAGAGTTAAATTATCACAAAAATAAAGTATATTCTAGACCACACCTAAAGGAGTTCTAAAAACAACTTGAAAAAGATCGAATTTAAAATTCAGCAATAAAAGTCTAGCATTCCTTACAGAAATACAACAAAATCCAGTACTCAACAATGCAAAATCCACAATGCCTGGCATATAATAAAATATTAATAGACATATGAAGAAACAAAATTATTTGATCTATTATTAGGAAAAAATAAATTAGTAGGAACAGACCAAGAAATGTTAGAGATGGTTAAACTAGCAGAGAAGGAAGCTAAAACGCTTTTATAAATATGCTTCATAAGATGAAGACTGTAATGGAAAACAAGAACATAATGAGTCAAAAAATGGAAGACAGGAAGAAACAATATGGAAGTCATAGAAAAAAATTTAAAATAGAAGGTTTAAAAGTTTAAAACATTTCATTGAGTGAGTAAGAGGAACGGTTTTACTTTGCATCACCACCTCCCACATTCAAGCCAGCACAGCACCACATGCAAGAATTCCCTGAGGTCCATGACATCTACAGTGGGAACAGAGAGTTGGAGGCAGACATTCAGCCTCCCTATCATTC